TGTGTAGATGAACACTTATCTGAGCGTTTCCCACACATCTTGTGCACATACTGCTTACTTGAGTCCATAACAAACGCTGTAAGGATGCATTTCTCAGCATACCTCTCGCCTGTGCATACATAGCCACACACCTTGTTTCGATCCTTGCGATGTTGCGAGGCTTGTGCATCTTCCGTGTGGTCGCCTCTTTCGCTCCGCTCCTTCTCTTTCTCGTGGGTTCGCTTGCGCTTGGCGTGGTACGCTTGCAGCCGCATCTTGTACTTCTCCTTCTTCTTCGATGCGTAGTAATATGCGACACACTCAGACACCGTGTGCGAGGGTATATACGTCTGGATCTTACCGAAGTCTTTTGGATACAGAAGATACCTGCACGGGTGGTTTTAAAGTTTTTAGGGTTTAGGGGTGCGTGCATGTGTGGGTATTGTGATGATGGTAGTATTACATGAGTGACAGAGAATGCGCTGTGTATGTCTCAACAAAAAACGAGCTCCACGCAGAATGAAAGGTAAGTGCCTTGTGATTAACGTGAATGTATGGGCATATATATGTACACATGCATCTGCCTGTATATGTATATGTAAATGTAAATACATGTAGACATTCATGTGTTGAATGTGTATGTGTGCAATTTTATGTCTCCGTGCGTGTGTCTGTATTTGTATCTATGTGTACTTATACATCTATATCTATCTATGCATATGAAATGTGTAGTCTTATTTTTGCTATATAGATATGAGCGTAGAAATAGATAATCTATGAAATCAAAATGAACGATGCAAGTGGAAACTGAATGCACTCCTTGACCTTTTTTTTTACCAATCTAACTAACACATAACACCCTCCCCCCCAAAAAAGAGATTAACGTAATACTAAGCATCCACAGAAACACACACATCGCGAGAGACAGGCATGCCCAATTGCTCACACACCCCAACGACACACGTGCACAGAACAAGACGCTCACGTGCATCCACCCCACAAACATCCCCGCATATAGGCCACAGCGCACCCCCTTACACCACACATGTGTAGACACAGCACAGACACTCACTTCTCCGAGAATATCTCCCTTTCCGAGTCTCTCCAGGGCATCTTCATCTTGTGTTCCATGATGTCTGTAGGTAGATCGACTACCAGTCCGTTGCGGTTGTCGTATCGCATGGCCTTCTCCTTCTTGTTGAGTATCAGCGGTGGCACCACCGCCGCCAGAGCAGTGAATGACTTCTCATCCGAACGCTCTTGTGCGAGTAGGTCCAGCAGTACCTGTAGCCCAGGAGTCGCAGAGAGAGTGAGAGAGTGAGTGTGTGTGCGTGTGGTGAGCGAGAGAGAGTGTGTGAGAGAGAGAGAGAGTGTGTGTGTGTGTGAGAGAGAGAGAGAGTGTGTGTGTGAGAGAGAGAGAGTGAGAGAGAGAGGGAGAGAGAGAGATAGAGGAAGGGGGAGGGGGGTAAGTCAGTAGGTATACGTAGTATGAGAGACTTTATCGGCTTCACCAAATATTCTGAACTTCAGAGGTATTTTGAGATTAGTAAATCGGTTGTCGAGACTCTGAAGAATCGGATAATACGACATGGCATTACGTGTTCATTCGCCGTGACTTCTGGTAATATACAACCCCCCAACCAGAGGTCCCCACATCCGCCAGAGAATCAAATGTAATCCCCAAACACACCCAAACCTACGCACACACCACAAGACGCAACAAGTAGGTAGATGGTTCGCACACCTACCTGTTCCATCTCCGCATCACTGCGTACAGCATCACCCCAACCCGAACTTCGGGATGTTCGGCTGCTGCGACCGCCCCAGCCAGGGGGACCCCCTACGTCCAGTGACAGATGCGACGGGTCGGCTGTAGGCGCCACAGCAACTTCTCCTCGATGACCTGCTAGGGTACAGATGAGTCAGAAAGAGGGCCTGAGCGAACTGCTCAGCGTTCAAACGGATTGGTGGTATACTCTGCGGGGTGATGGTACAGACTGGGCGCCTATGTGGAGAAGATCAAAACCACAACCACTGCAGCATGCCATGCAATGGTAGGACCAGTGAAGTCCAGTATGGTTTTGTTCCTTGATTTTCGATTCATCTAGGTTTCCTCTAAAACGAGTATGTGATATAAAGTGTTTTATATGTTTATATTTGCCACATGCGGGCCGAAAACGTTAGCACCGCAACCTCAAAGACAGGGCAAACGAGATAGGGGATGTAGAGTAGATTAAGTGTTTTGGTCGTAGAATGGGATGTGGTTGGGGATGGTCGATAGGTGCAGACTGGACGGACACTTGAGACTATGAAACCACCACAAGCACACCCACGAAGCCCTAGACATAGAACAGTCAAGTTTTGGGATATCACGCAGAGTTAATCTTCATATCAAGAATGGGGATTATGATATAGAGTTAGTTCGTAGTACAGATTCGGTGCGAATACAAGCAGGTTACGATATCACCGCAGCCACCCCCGATGCCGTGTGTGGGTTGAATCAAAGCCTTCTAAATCGAACGTATGGTTGAATAAGTGGGTTCTGGATTATGATCTCAGGCCATTTCCAGTATAAGAGAACGACTGATATGGTGTGAGTTTTGTATGCATTGGGCCAAACATGCGAGGATATGACATGGCCAAGTTCAAACACACAGGCACAAGGCACGACACACCCCTCGCAAATACTTTCCAATGCATGCGCGTAAGACGCTCACAAGCAACAGTACGCATACGCGTAAGACGCACACAGGCATCAGTACGCACACGTGCACAGACCATGCCGTGCAGCTCAGATACGTTGAATGGGGCTGCGCACGGAATCAACACAACACGCATAGCAGATATAACAACTACAACAGGCATAATAAACACACTACGCATCACTACTAGATACTAGACCCTAAAACAGGCACAACAGACATAAAAAGCACACTAAGCATCACTACTAGATACTAGACCCTAAAACAAGCACAACAGGCACAATAAGCACACCAAGCACCAGTACTAGACCTTCAACCCAAAAACAAGCACAATATGCACAAGAAGTATAATAAACGCATAACCCAACCGTTGACCAGACCAATGCACTAAAATCGTGACCCAAAATGTAGGGCATGCAACACTGCAACTTGGTCAGCACACACACTGAGAGATACCATCTCTCCATTCAAATAGACCCCACTGCAGATTATGTAAATGCACAGATCCTACACACATAGTATATGCAAACATGCATACAACACTACACACTTGGCCAGCCCAAACACAGAGAAATACCATCTCTCCATTCAATTAGACCCCACTGCAGATTATGTAGATGCACAGATCCTACACACATAGTATATGCAAACAGGCGTACAACACTACACACTTGGCCAGCCCAAACACAGAGAAATACCATCTCTCAATTCAAATAGACCCCACTGCAGATTATGTAGATGCACAGATCCTACACACATAGTATATGCAAACAGGCATACAACACTACATACTTGGCCAGCCCAAACACAGAAATACCATCTACCCATTCAAATAGACCCCACTGCACCATTGTTCCGACAGGTGGATCCTACCTGTAGTATAGTGGTTGTTGATATTATCTTACCTGTAGTATAGTGGTTGTTAATATTATCCTCGGCTCGTGTCGGTGGCAGACCCCGTGCCATGTCTGGGAATTGCGCCTCGAAGAAGGCTTTCTGTCGCTGAGCACGACCGCTTTTGTTAGCAATCGCTTCCTGCCGCTCTATGCGAGCCTCCCAGGCTTCCTATGTATGTGTGCGGGTGTAGGTATGAGGGAGTGATTCAGGTACCAGTGTGTATATATGACTGTACCTTGTACGTGTATGTGGATGGTTGCGTATGTTTGTACGAGTATGGGAATCAGGAGTGGATTTAGGTGCTATTGTGTGTATCTATGTCTATGCGTGTGTATGTCTACAGTATACCTATGCGAATGTGCGATTGTGTGAATATGAAATTGCGTTTATATACCAGAGCGTTTGTCTATGTGTGTTCTTGTATTTTAGGTGTATGTGTACGTGTATCTGCTCCAGGCTATGTATATATGTTTGTGAGTGATGCAGCGTGAGTGTGAGGGAGAAATCCGAAGTGTAAAGGTGTACTGTATATGTTTGTAGCGGCTATTTCTGTGGGAGGATGTGCAAATGCGCGTAAGTATATCGATACGTGACAGTGTGTGCCTGAGCGTGAGCGGGAGTATAAACTTGTGCAGGAAGTAGGTTAAGCTGCACGCAGCAATTAAACAGATAGTGCAGTGCCGGTATGCCCATAGTTGGGGGCATCCCTCTGAGACGGGCAAATGACATCAAATGAAAGAGTGCACGCAACCTTATGGGTGTAAGTGGCAATGTTGGCAAATCCACTCCACGTGGACATTAATCACTGCATATATACAAATCAACATATCTACGTATGTATCTGGATGCAGGTGACAATATGATTTAAGGCTTTCCCGAAATGTGAACATCTGATCACAGAAGGCCGTAAGATAATATGCAGATATGTGCAGTTTATGCGTTTAATCGTGTACACAATCACGTGGACTCCGCGGCATGATCATAAATGTTCTAATCATCACCAAAAGAAATGACTTGATACGTCGAACATGTATCAATAGATCATCGCAACTACAGATGTATTTGTACATATACAAATAAATATATGCGACTTTGTGTATATACACATACTTTGCACCACGTGAGAGAGCGCGATGACTTTTATATGTTACATGCACTCCAATGCAGACAAGCAATGTACCATACACATTAAAAAGTCGTATTAACATTCATCCGAGACACAAAATACACAAATTAAAACAGATAACACAGCTTCTTGTACTTACATACACCAACAGTCTATGTCAATTCATATTCATAAAAAATGTGTATGTATCTGTCATCTGTGCCTGTGTATCTAACATCCTTGTGCATACATCTAACCGATCTGTGTGCAGATCCAATATACCCGTATACATACATGATATTTACGGTAGGCAATTTGGAGACGCTTAATCTTCAGCTGCTGCGCTGCGTTGGTGCGTTTCAGATACCCCAAAAGGGTCGGTCTAAAGTACGCGTGGTTACGGAAGATGGAGGCGAAGGTGGGGATGTCATCTGGTCGATTATACAGAACCATCTGGTCCCCCACTTCCAGATCCTGCAATGAAAGGTAAACAACACCGAGGAGATGAGAGCTGGTTTGATGAGAAGCGTTGGGTATGATTGCCCGTGAGCATGGCGAGAGTGCGGCTACGGTCAGAAAGAATAGGTAGAAGGTGGGAAGACCAGTGGGTATGGGCCTGCCCTTGCGCTCAGTCTCAGTACGACCAATTTTTGTTTCGACACCTATCATACAGTCACTTTGCTTGAAGTGTGTCGCTTTCATCTAGAATACTCGCGTGAGGTAGGCAACCCAGCGCGATATGAATGAGAATTGGCTTGCCTTGTACACACACATACATTCAGACATGCAACGGAGTTAAACACTGCCGACTCGATGAAGGGTGTACGTGAAGCGTAAATAGGCAAGTCATGGGCATACATTGTGTGTCTGATAACCCGTACGTAGTATAATTTAAATATTTACGTACAAATATATCAAGTACGCTTAAAATCTATAACGAATATACAACCACGTAGAATAACTTAGACAGTTAAATATAAATGTATCAAGTACGCTTGTAATCTATAACAAATATACAACTACGTAGTATAACTTAGTTAGTTACATATAAATGTATCAAATACGCTGAAAATCTATAACAAATATACAGCTATGTAGTATAATTTAGATAATTACATATAAATATGTCAAGTACGCTTAAAATCTATAACAAATATACAACTCCGTAGTATAACTTAGGTAGTTACATATAAGTGTATCAAGTACGCTTAAAATCTATAACAAATATACAACTCCGTAGTATAACTTAGATAGTTACATATAAGTGT